ATTAATCGTGAATTTACATAACTTCCGTCCAGCGGACGGATACTCCAGCTAGTATAGAACTTTCTTTTTCTCCGCCATAGTCTTGTTGGAATCTTATACAATGGGCTATCTGCGTTATTTCCACCTCGGGGAATCGAACTGCGGATCTTAACGTTCTAAGTCCGTAATCTTATCCCCTGGCCCATCTGAAAATTGTAATGTTGTTTCGTGATGAGGTTGACTACAGTTTTGCTTTGTAACAACTACGTAGAAAATTTTGCTGGTTGATTGAATGACTTTTGTTAAAGTATAAATGATTAATGTATTTTACTTTGTAGTAATATTTTGGTAATGACTGAAAGCGTCTGTTAGTAAGGTTTTCGTAATCTAGGAATTTCGATATTGAAATCAACTTTATTTATTTACAAAACCAATGTCTTACTAACCCAAAGGAACAAAACGGAAAATGTAACTTTAATTTTTTTTCTAGGTTATGTGGGGTTGTTATAGTTATAACTTAAGTTTTACCAAGTTTACTAGACCTTAACCCAGGTATAATATTCATTACTTAAGTTTCAGTATCAGGTTAATTTAAGAAGCTAATTTTTATTTTGTTCTTTGCCAAACTGTTTTTAATTGAATCTGTAAAAAAACAATTCATTATTTGGATAACCACACTAGCTTTTTTTACTAATATATATATGCAACAATGCGCTTTGCTTCATAAAAAGAAAAAAGAGTAAATTTTCCCTCCATTGTAATATATATATATTGTTACTAAAATTAGCTCACGCAAGCTGACCCTCTTGTGATGAGTCAATGATCTACAAGTAATTTACAAAAAATCCCAAACGTGTGACCTACAAAACGTTCTTTGGCATGTACCAGGAAAAACAAGAGAAAATAAAAGTCATCGCTCTTGTATACAGGTTGTACTAAAAATTGGAAGTTGAATGACATTAAACAAGGCGCAAAAAATGGGAAATGATGTCAGATTTGTGGCAGTATTGAACTGTGTTCAATTTCATTAACTGTCATATTAGAATAATGTTTGCAATTTCTCCAGCGTCTATTTCACTTCATCATTTAATCTTTACGTCACAGTTTATTATGTATATCTTCCCTTTTTTTTTACAGTATAATTAGCTAAGAAACAGAGGTTAAAATGTCTGGGTAAAATGAAATATGCCTAGATCTAATATATCTCTGTTTAATCCAATTATTGACGACTGCAATTTGATGACAGTGCAGAGTTTAAAGATCGTAATATACACCGAAGAGTTCTTGTAATTTGTGTGATAAACAAGATATATTACTCCAGAGTGAATATTTCTGCCAACAGGGGTCGGAGGTTAATCTTCTGTTTTTCAATGTAGACTCTATTATGTACAGTAGCAGGTTGTATTTTTATTAATATCATGCTTAAAAAAAAAAAGTTGATGCTTAAATAAAAGACCGTATCCGTTTTATGGAGTTTTAATTAAACCATTTCAAGTTATTTGTTGTAGTTAGAGAATCTGGCCTTTTAAAGTGGAAAAAAAAAAACGATAGTGTGTAACATTAACTGCGTTGCTACCTTTAACAAGGCATTAGAATAAAATAAAAGATCATTACTTGCTAGGTACTCGTTTGGTTTGTAATATTAAACATTTCTTTACGTTTATCGTGATTCAAAAAAAAAAATCTTTAAGTATGTTATATTTTTGTTTGCTTTGTTTACTTTCACGCTCTCCCTCTTCTTAGGTTTTGCTGCTTGTCAGCTATCTCGACCACTTTCATTTAGCCCTTTCCAGCGATGTAATCGCCAAGAGATGGCAGTAATGTATCAGCAGGTTGCCCAGTGTACAAATGGCGTCACCGGAAGTAGCAATTTCAACGATGAACTACTAAACAAGACACTCAGCGGGGATCTTCAGTTCATGTGCAGGTATTTAGATGACGTTAAAGTATTTTCAGTGCAGGCCTTAAGAAGAAGTGTAAGAAAAGCGGCTATCTGGGGTTTTGTACTTTTAAGGAGTATTGTGATATTCCAAACAAAAAAGTATTTTTAAATTCTGGTATTGTAGTCGATTACTAGGTTAAGATATATTTTTGAGTGCTAACTAAAACACACACACAAACAAAAACATTTTTCTGGACTCTGTGATCCTCATTACCCTGCTGATTTGGGTCTGGGACTCGTTAAGGTACTTGGAATTTTAAACTTAAATAGCCTCCCCCCCCCCCGGTAGCTCAGCGGCGAGTCTGAGGACTTACAACGCTAGAAATCAGGTTTCGATGCCCGCGGTGGGCTGAGCGCACATAGCCCTTTGTGTTGTCTAGCGCTTAACAACGACAACAACAAAAAATGTAAATAAGCGAAATAAACAAGGAGTCTCAGTAAGAATCCTAACTGTCAAAGAACTTATATGCTGTTACTACTTAATTTTTTCACGTTAAATAAAAGCTAGATTACTTTTTAAAATTACAATATTTCTGTTCTTTCAGAATTAACAATTGCTTTATTTAAACAGTGAGTTCCTAACGTAGTAGATACACGTCGTGATTCAGTTTTGCTCTAGAAATCAAAATGAAATCATCAGCATATAATAAACAAATTGGAGAAATAAATTAAAAGAACATCCAGCCCCCCCCCTCCTCCAGTGGCACAGCGGTATGTCTGCGGACGTAAACTGCTAGACACCGAGTTTCGATATTCGTGGTGGGCAGATCACAGATAACCCATCGTGTAGCTTTGTGCTTAACTACAAACAAATTCTAAAAACAAACAAACAGAACATCCAAGTACTTAGTCAGATAAATTCTTCATACATAATAATAATTACAATAGAGGGACAGTAACTAAGTTTCTCTGATACCTTTTCTAATTTCAAATATGTTGAATGTATAAACCTTTTCACAGCTCAAACGAGTCTTAAACTGTTTAAAACGTTTGAATATCGTTCCTTTGTATATATTTTATACGTAATAACAGGATCTCTATTTCATATTCCAATATGTTGAATGTATAAACCTTTTCACAGCTCAAACGAGTCTTAAAGTGTTTAAAACGTTTGAATATCGTTCCTTTGTATACATTTTATACGTAATAACAGGATCTCTATTTCATAAAATGTTTTACAACAATTCGAAATGATTCCTTCACCAAAAATTGTTATTTTGCTAGATCTTCATGAATGAAACTCGGCACAACTAAAACGAAATATCTATATCTTTATATAGATTTTATATATATATATATTCATAAATCCATATAGATTATACTACGGTGGTACCATACTGGGCATTATACCATCCTTCTTATATTTACCAATCCTTCCAGAAATGACATTTCAAATTTGAAAATCGTTAGGGAAATCATCTTTACTGTGCTGTTAGTTTCACAAAATATTGAGACTAATGGTTTCTCGTATATGATTACAATCCACCTTTTTGAAGATAACGATACTATTGTGCCCGTTTTTTTTGTTTCGCTGTTAATGCAGTAATCAATTGTTGAATCTTCGATTGGGATATCTTCGAATAAGTTCTTCCCTCATCCGACATGGATCCATGGTTTAACTTAATCGCTACACTTAAAGCAACACATTCATAACAACATCTAGAACATTTCAAGCATGTTTCATTGCTGTATCTTTTACTTTACATTTACAAGTTAACTTCTCCATGGTGGCTCTCATGGTCTCGAGGTAGATCACGAGTCTGTCCCAACGACCTATCCCTCAAAAATAGTGTCAAACGTCATCTTTTTGTCTAATCAAAACAACCCAAATCTTTCCGGAACGAATCATTTTTTTTTATCGACATTAAGATGCTGGGCTGGCTCATGTAGCAGATGTTAAATACCCTAGAGTGCGAAACATATTGTGATTAGTTTTAAAATACAAAATTAAAAAGGAAATGTTTCAATAATTAATCAGACCATTTTAATTCCCTTATTAAACGTAATAATTACATTAATAGACCGCATGAGTGAGTAAACACTGATTTCAAAAAATATTTTTAGAAATATTTAAATTGGCAGATAAATTATTTGTACTGTTGTTTACAGGTTAAATATTTCGACAAAACTTCTCCGAACAGTTTTGAAGCGTCACTTTTGTTCACAATGGAAGATTTGAAACAGCTAGACAATGAATTGTCCTCCGGTGTCTACGGACTTAGAACACTAAAATCTGGGGTTCGATATCCCGAGGTGGACACAGCAGATAGCCAAATGTGGCTTTCTTGTAAACAAACAACAACACAATAAAGCTCCTTACGGAATGGATGGTGCTGTTGTTTGCAATAAATTATTCGAAAGATTCATTCGCATGTTTCTCCCTGTAGGACAGCGGTAAGTCTACGGATTTTCAAAGCTAAAATCAGGGGTTCGATTCCACTCGGTGAACACAGCAGATAGCATAATGTGGCGTTGCTATAACGCACGTACATACAGAGAGAGAGAGAGAGATATTCACTCGCTTCGTTGTTTGCGGTGAAACATTTCCAAGAAGTCATAGACATTGTTATCTATAATCAGGAACTTCAATATGGTCTCACGTGTATTAAAAGATTTGCAAGAGCCATTATTCGAAGTGAGCGGGATTTAAAAGGTCACTGTCGATCAGAAAGAATACCTCGAAACAGTTGCTTGTGCTGGTTTTCTATATGAAAGTTTTCGGAGTATTTGTTTGTTGTTAAACTCAAAGCTTCTGAATGTTCTGTCTACACAGGTATTTGAACCACATTTTGAGATTTATCATTGAGCCACGGAGGGGGGGGGGGTCGGGGGTCGGAATGTCTTCAAAAGTCAAATAATGGTTTTACTTTTTTTTCTTTTTTTTGTTTGCTGTCATTTTGTAACATCTTGTGTTTTGTTTCGTTTGCAGCAAGTTGGATGAGATCCTCTCATGTTCCAATTATGGTCATCAAATGCCCTGTCTAACCAAACCAGAGCGAGATTACCTCTACACAAGTTCGAAGGCTCAATACGCAGGTCTTCAATATCTTTGTGGAAACAACCAAGCTAACTTTAGAGGTACAATAATTAATATTACCAAAAGTTTTAATACTGAACTCAGTTTTGGACTCGACTTTTAAATACATTAAATTTTGTATGCTTGAAAAATTACATTAATTAGAAAATCATGAACATGATTGGCATAAATAAATATTTTTTTTTTTGCTACGGTTTAATACTACAAATTTTGTATTATAATAATAATAATAATTTTGGATTTGTGAAGAGAGCGTTACGGTTCGTGGTTTATAGAGTTTGTTAAAACCACTTAGTTTTGTACTGTGAAGTATCATGACAAAGATTTGCCACAGGAAGACTGTGGTGACATTGAAGAAACTTTCAGAAAAGCTGATGAATGCATTAAATAGTAACAAAACAACAAACAACAACAACAAAAAAACTGACCAATTTCAGTGTTTGGGTGAGTATAAGACAATGTGATGTTTGGCATGATACTATAGATGCAAATATATATATATATATATATTTATTTATATATACTGCCAAACTTTTGTATACGGTTACACGTGATGACTTTGACATGAAATTTCAGAAGAACCAAGGCATTCAGCAAAAGAATGGTGCAGCTTAGCTAGATGCTTATACACCTTGGCCAGGTGGTTATATAGCTTGGTCAGATGGGTATATGGCTTGGCCAATTAGTTATATAGCTTGGCCAGATGGTTATATAGCTTGGTCATATGGTTATATACTTTGGTCAGATGGGTAGATGGCTTGGCCAATTAGTTATATAGCTTGGCCAGATGGTTATATAGTTTGGTCAGATGGTTATATACTTTGGTCAGATGGATATATGGCTTGGCCAATTAGTTATATAGCTTGGCCAGATGGTTATATAGCTTGGTCAGATAGTTATATACTTTGGTCAGATGGGTATATGGCTTGGCCAATTAGCTATATAGCTTGGCCAGATGGTTAACAGCTTGGCCAGATGGTTATATAGCTTGGTCAGATGGTTATATAGCTTGGCCAGATGGTTAACAGCTTGGCCAGATGGTTATATAGCTTGGTCAGATGGTTATATAGCTTGGTCAGATGGGTATATGGCTTAGCCAATTAGTTATATAGCTTGGCCAGATGGTTATACAGCTTGGTCAGATGGTTATATAGCTTGACCAGATGGTTATATTCTTTGGCTGTCCCTGATTCTGTAGCTTTGATGACTGTAAATGGTATTTAAGTAACTCCCACCCCCAGGATATGAAATCTGTGAGTTTCAATTATTTCAGTTTTACGTTCATTAATATTTTTTATTGAGTTGAATACCGTTTTTTACTTCCTGAAAATATTAAAAATGTAAAATTTGTTTTTTCATAAATACCTATAATTACTCAGTATTTCAGCTTGTTGATTCATCGATTGTTTTTGCCAACAGTTCCCAGCCTTTTCGTTGATCCACTCGTAAGTAAAAACAGTTTTCATCTCACTCTCCCTACCTTCAGTATGAGAAAATATACTAATAATCCACCAAATTCTCCCATCCTATCGTTATTGGAAACCATTGACTTACACTATTTCTCTGTGTTATCACGTTCTTGGAAAAGCGTGCAACAAAAATACTGCTGCGTTCTTACATGTGCCGTAAAGAAAAACTAAAACTTACTTCTTAAGCATAACCTCGAAAATAAAGATTTTCATTTAAGCAGAAAATTTCTTTGACGTGTTCATCCCTCTCATCGGTTGCTAGTTTAGAAAGCGAACAAATGTTCTAACGTTTTTTATTTCTACTAAGTTGGTTCGGCTCAACCGTAAGTTTAGGTGGATTACAATGAAAGACCAGCAGTAAACACTTCAACCAAAACACGTCAATGTAAAATATAACTAACATCTACATGTAAATCTACATCCTTATTGACACATTGCGGCTGTGACATATTTATTAACATACTGTGGCTGTCACATGTAAATCTATTTGTTTATTAACACACTGTGACATGTAAATCTACACGTTTATTAACATAGTGCAGCTGTGACATGTAAATATATATTTATTAACATACTGTGGCTGTCACATGTAAATCTATTTGTTTATTAACACACTGTGACATGTAAATATATATTTATTAACATACTGTGGCTGTCACATGTAAATATATTTGTTTATTAACACACTGTGGCTGTCACATGTAAATGTACACGTTTATTAACATAGTGCAGCTGTGACATGTAAATATATATTTATTAACATACTGTGGCTGTCACATGTAAATCTATTTGTTTATTAACACACTGTGACATGTAAATCTACACGTTTATTAACATAGTGCAGCTGTGACATGTAAATATATATTTATTAATATACTGTGGCTGTCACATGTTAATCTACTTGTTTATTAACACACTGTGGCTGTCACATGTAAATATATTTGTTTATTAACACACTGTGACATTTAAATATGCACGTTTATTAACACATTGCGGCTGTCACATGTAAATCCGTACACGTTTATTAACATAGTGCAGCTGTGACATGTAAATATATATTTATTAATATACTGTGGCTGTCTGTTAATAAACAAATATATTTACATGTCACTGTGGCTGTCACATGTAAATCTATTTGTTTATTAACACACTGTGGCTGTCACATGTAAATATATTTGTTTATTAACACACTGTGGCTGTCACATGTAAATATGCACGTTTATTAACATAGTGCAGCTGTGACATGTAAGTATATATTTATTAACATACTGTGACTGTCACATGTAAATCTATTTGTTTATTAACACACTGTGACATGTAAATATGCACGTTTATTAACACATTGCGGCTGTCACATGTAAATCTACACGTTTATTAAGATAATGCAACTGTGAGATGTAGGCGTTTTTGAATTAGAATAACCGTTTTCTTTCTCAGCTTTTATTCAGAGTGGCGGACTTGACTGTGCTGATGATGTGGACCCTCGTAAAACTTCTGCTTGTCTCCTTCAAGTCGCCGGAATATTTTACGGAGGAAACTTGGCCCTCCAATTTGACGAAAGAATGTGCGGGTAAGTTTTAACGAAATTTATATCATGTATGTTGAAAACTTGCAGACTGTAAAAAAAAAAAAGTATTTTAGAGATAAAATCCCAGAACTTTCTCAACCAATGTTTAAATACTCTGAAAATTTCTTTTTTTTCTTACAGACTCACTCGTCGCTCCATGGGTTGCGTAGCTAGTTTGTTTGGTCACTGTAACAGTAACGTCCAGAACATTATTAGCGGAATGATTCAAACTATTGTAAGCGAAACGCCTTGCTCAAGATCCACTGCAAAGTATCCCTCCTCCAGTCAACCAATAGCTAGCTTTCTTAAAGCACTTTCATCTGCCGGTTATCAAGCTAGAGCATCTAACGGTGCTCCAGTTATTTTGTACTAACTTTTTTATTGTAATCATCATATATTCTCATGCACTAGATTCTAATTAGTCATACTTAGAGCACCATTTCACGCGTCATAGAATACAAATAATGCAGTTAATATTTAAAATAAATACTGTTACACGTTACGATTGACTATATAAATATTCTATTCACAAGAAATTCAGTACTTGAAGTTAACGAGTTGGCACACCTCTTTGTACTTGTTGATAGACTTTGAGAGACAGGAAATATTAGTCAAATGTGAACAAGTTTTTAGTGTATCTCAGAGATTCTCTGGATTTCATGTTTAGTGTTATTTCGACTCAGCAGGCTGAACAAGAAAGTAGTACCCAAGGCTAATCTATGTCATCATCTGAATTTTCATCGTAGTTTTTCTTCCTAGTGTAAATCACCTGTATATGCTCATCGGTGGTTAACATATTGGTATTGTTCAACAATTCTACTTAATGTAATATTAATAAATCAACTTATAATTGGTCTACTCGTGTATCTTGTGGTGTTTAATTAATAAGAGCAATACACCATTTCAATCACATTATTTTTGGGGGGCAATTATTATTTTTTTCTATATCTTCCGACCACATTTGTTCGGACCATCATCATGCAGAATGAAAATAGACGAGACCACAATATATATACTATATTAACACCTGCCACACGAGCCAGCCCAGCATCTTTTAGTTTTAAGTCTAGGATGGTCAACAGGGGCGATTAGGGTTATTTCTATAGATTTCGATGAATAAAGCTTGGCACAACTAAAATGAAATATATACATATATATTAAGGAAAATAAGACAAGGTGTAATTTATATGGATTACACTACGGTGGTACCATACTGGGCATTATACCATCCTTATTATATTTACCACTCCTTGCAGAAATAAAATTTTAAGTTTGTTTGTTTTTGGATT